TTTTTTTTTTTTTTTTTAATTTTTTTCAGTTTTGGATGGATTCTTGCTCTGGAATTTTCAATGGGTTCAATCCTCTATTTTTGGAGAAGAATTTGGAAATTTAAAGTTCAAATCCAATAAATAAGACTTTTAAAAATAAGAATTTAATTGTCTTTTTAATGAAACTTATTGTTTTTGTTAACGAAAATTTAACGCTGTTAAATTGTGGGAATAGAAGTAAAATATATTGCTAGTTTGGTTGGGGGGAATGGAATAGCCATTCCCCCTTATTCCTATTATCAATTTAAAAATGCATTTGGTTGGATGGAATGATTATTTTTTAGAATAATCATTTTAGGAGGACTTGGAATAGCCATTGTTGAGCTTCCCTTAGTAATGACTATTTTGGATTGGTGGGAATAGAAAAAAAATTAGATTGGATGAAAAATTCCTTTTAAAATTTAAAAAATTACTCCTATATAATTGTAGAAGGAGACAAATTATTAGCCAATTACGTGCCACCATGTGGATTTAATAATATGTTAACTATGTAATTAATTATAAAATAATTAATTTATTGGTTGAAGACATATAGTTGAACCAATTCACCTATTGGTATATATTTATCCGTTGAGATTATTTGGAGATAATATTTATATTTTGACCAATCAAATATTAGTTATTAGTCATTCGATTTATCTCTTAATAAATCACAATAATTTAGAGATAATATTTATATTTTGACCAATCAAATATTAGTTATTGGTCATCCAATTTATCTCTAAATAAATCAAAATAATTTGAAGATAATCTTCATATTCTTGATCAAATCAAAATTTAATTATTGGTCATTTAAATTATCTCTAATAATTATATTAATTTAGAGATAAAAATCAAATTGAATTATTTAATTTATTTTTAAATAAATTAAGATAATTTGGAGATAATACCTAACTTCTGCCAATTAAAATTCAAGGACTCAAAGTCCGGCCAATCAAAAGACTTTCAATGAGTCATCATAATTTATCTCTAAATAAATTAAAATAATTTAGAGATAATTTAAAGAGATTTTATTCTCATCAAAGTCTCCCACTGAGCATTATAAATAGGGGGCTCCTCCAAGCCATTTTCATTCATTCGGAAGCATTCGAAGATTGGGAAGCATTCGAAGATCGAGAGCATTTCAGAGATCAAGAAAAATTTAAGATTTCTGAAGTCAAGATCAAGCGACGACGAAGTTCGTGATTAAGCGACAACGAATTTCGTGATCAAGATATCAAGTGTTCATGATCAAGATTAAGTCGTGAAAACCCTTAAAGAGAAGATCAAGTGTTCGTGATCAAGATTAAGTTGTGAAAACCCTTGAAGTGAAGATTAAGCGAAGTTCGTGATCAAGACAAAGTCCAAGTTCGTGACTCTTGAAAATGAAGTGAAGAAATTAATTAGAGGATTTTCAGAGATTATCACTAACATCATCAAATATTTGTATTTGTCTTATAATTTTCAAGTCAAGAAATTTTGATGAAAAATTTGAGTGTACAAATTTCTGGCACGCCCGATGGGACTATCTCTGCCTCTCATCTTCTTTCTTCAAACAAATCTCCAAAGATCTCCAAGTTAAAATGGCTCTTAAGAAGAATCTCGTCAATAAAGTTGCTATCAAGCCTGCTAGAGCGAATCCTACAGTTTTTCCTACTTCATCATCAAGCACAAATGTTCTAACACATCCATATGGTACTCGGAGAAAGGCAGAGGCTCTTACTAAATTGTATGAGCAAACTCTCCCAGTCCTCAACCAAAATCCTTTGTATGATGCTTCTTCCCCAAGTTTTGAAGAAGTCTCTACTATGCAATTTGTTTCCTCCAAAGGATCAAGTACTAATCAACTCAAGGAACATGATGGCTACTCAAGCAGTAGCTCTGTTTCATCATCTCCTCGCCAAAGTTCTTCTTCAAAAGTAGACTTTGGAATGATGGTTGTCATGACAATTGGAACAACATCTCTAGAAGAACAAGTTACGCTTCTTGCGAAGGCTATGAAATCTCTGACAACAAGCATCAGAGGATGAACAAATTACCTTAATGATGGCAAAAATTAGTAGCCTTACTGGAAAGGCACCAATGGATCTTGGTCAAAATCAGCACCAAGATAATGAAGAGAATTCCACTACGAAAGTGAAAAATAATCTCCAACAAAAATCTAATGAAGTGGTCACCACCAATCAATTAAAGGAACTCATCAAAGAAGCTATCAAGGAACGGGTGGAAAGTGTCACTCAACCTTCATACACATATGCAAAGCCATACTTTTAAAGGATAGATCGCATGAGGATGCTGCCAAACTATCAACCACCAAAATTCCAATAGTTTGATGGTAAAGGAAATCCTCATCAGCATGTTGTACACTTCATAGAAACTTGTAACAATGCTGGCACTTATGGTGATCTTATGGTGAAACAGTTTGTTCACTTTTTAAAGGGCAATGCCTTTGATTGGTACACAAACTTAGAACCTGGGATGATTGATAATTAGGAGCAATTAGAACGTGAGTTCCTTAATCGTTTCTATAGCACTCGACGTGTGGTGAGCATGATTGAACTCATAAGTTCGCTCTAATGGAAAGATGAGCCTGTGATTGATTATATCCATAGGCGGAGAAATCTCAGTCTCAATTGCAAAGAGCGATTGTCTGAATCCTTAGCCCTTGACATATGGATCTAGGGGATGAATTGGGGGTTACGCTATATTCTTCAAGGCATTAAGCCTAAAAATTTCGAAGAATTAGCTACTCGCGCTTATGACATGGAATTAAGCATGTCAGCGATTGGAAATCAGGGACCTTCAGTGCAAGAACCAAAGAAGGGTAAGCAAGATATCCGTAAAGGGGGCAAAGCTTTGGTAGATAAGAGTGAAGGAAAACAGTCTACGACTATAAATACCAAACCCATCAAGGTGACTACCAATTCAAAAAAAACCCAAGAAACGAAGCTCGGTCCCCGATAGGATAAAAAGAAAGTGTCTTTGAAAGAAAGACAAGAGAAAAAGTATCCTTTCCTTGACTCAGATATCACAGAAATGTTGGAAGAACTTCTGAAAGCTAAGCTCATTCAATTGCCAGAGATGAAGCAATCGGAAGAAGCTGATCGAATAAATGAACCCAACTACTACAAGTACCATTGTCTAATTGGTCACCCTATAGAAAAATGTTTTGTCTTAAAAGAAAAAATCTTGTGTTTATACCAGAATGGGAAAATTGAGTTTGAAGAAGAAATGGCTACAACAAATGTAGCATCAGCAACTAGCATTCTTTCTCCACTTAATGTGTGGAGCAATATAAAGTTCGAATCCTTCGACTATATAATGTTGGCACCAAATGGAGAGAAGACATCCAACCTTCAAGATAATGGGGGCAAAGTTTATGGTTCTACAAGTGAAGAGCCAGACAATGAAGGATGGATCCTAGTTATTCATCAGAGAAGAGGAAAGAAAAGTCTTCCCAACAACAAGCAAGCACCAAAAAGATCCAAAATGATGAAACAACCATCTAGGAAGATGATGCCCAAGATAATGCCAAGAAAAATAAGTATGGCCAAGTGTGAAAATTCGATGGTGCAAAGGCCTAGACAACCAATCACTTTGAATGATTTCATGCCAAGGTAGTTCAAAAATCAAAATCCAATTCCCATATCATGTTTCCAAATTG